TGATTTCAACTACAGCCTCATCTTAATTGGGTTCAATGACGATTTGGGCTACCTAGATCAATCCCGTTGATGTGTGAATGCTAACGGTACAGATCGATGGAAAAACTAGCTGAGGGGCAGAGCGAAACGAAGGACACGCATGGTGTGGTAGTGAATGCTTAGCCCGCGGAAAAGCTAATAGCGCGTTCGTTGCCCACCGCAGACACCTGCGGTCCGGAATTTTGCAAATATTTCAGCACCGCTGTGGTTGTATTTCGTATAATATCCTGGCGTGAAAATTGTAGATGGCAGCAAATAAAAGGTTAACAAATTGAAAACAGTTAAAAACAACAACATATTGCGAAGTATGGAAATATTTAGCTCAGCATTGGTTTATATAAGTTCAGATGCCTAATTAGGTTGGGGTAAGCTACCAATACACTGAGCTACATGTTTTCTTGTAGCAATTTAAACTTCAAAAATAGGAAAAACCACCGACACTACGCGCTCGAATCATGGTCCCAACAACTCCATAGCTAGGAACTTAGATATTAGTGTGCAACGATATTCGTAAAGAGGACGAGAAACTCTCTAGATCCAGCCTAATCAAGACGCAAAATCTTTCTTGGAATATGTATACGAAGAAACTAATTAAATATAACAAACTCTGAGATCTAAATAAACACGTAATATGCACTCGAGCAAAATAAATGAAAAATTACAAAAATTAAGAAGAAACATTTATTTATATGATCTTATGAATTAATCTTCTTAAGCTGACGTGAGGTTGGTACAGGCCTTCGTTGTCGTTGTCGTTGTTGGTCGATGGCTGACGATTCGGCGACTTCGCTTTCCTCAGATCCGTGATGTTACGTGTGGGAAACAACGACAACGACAACGAAGACCTGTACCAACTTCGCGTCAGCTTAAGAAGATCAGTTTATAAGAACATATAAATAAATATATCAACTATCTATGTCGAGATTTATAGAAAGTCTGTCTTTTGAGCTAATAAGAAGAAACAGTTTTTGCTTTTGTCGCATCCACTTCTTTACTGCGTACCATGCATTCAAGCAGGTCCTGTGGCATTATAACGTGATGATTAGTGCTCATACGAGAAAAGAGACGACTCTTTGGCTTTCTCTGTTGGCTGTCGTTATCTCGGATTGCTAATTTTAGGTACAGCCACTTGGACTCAATTCACTTGAGCGAAACGTGAATAGATTTCGCTCTCAAACTCGTGACTGTTTGCTTTTCGTACATTGTTACAGTATACAGTATATCTGCTATACTACATACGTTTTTTATCCACGATTCGTTGTTAGAATGTCATTCTGTGTCTGGAACGCGCAACAGCCCCGTCCATACAAATGTTTTTGCTATTTCATGGAACTGTTATGAAATTTCTGCTAACTTTGATGCGCAGATTGATGAAGATGAAGTTGATTTAGCAGTCTCTCTGTTGGAATAACTTGTAATCAGGAAGGGGGTTGCCATGTATAATCAGGAACCACAACACCAGAACTTACGCGATGGTAACCTAACACTTCCCATCTCAAGAGAAAGACAAGCGAGTTTTTCTTAAGAACGACATTGGTTTAACTTCGGTATAAGTAATCAGTATTATTCTTCATTCTTAGGATAATATGAGCTTGCTAAAAGGTTTATTCTTGCAATGTCTCGACTTCTTCGTCTTCTTAAAAACTGGGATTGATTTGAGTCAATTGCTCCCAGTAGTTTGTCTTTGCGATGTGGGTACACGTTGTCGCACTGAGTCGAATCGGATTGGAACACTACTTGAATGAAGGGACCTCACTCAGCGGCGCTGTTTTTTGCAGGTCTACTTCAACCAACTCGAATTAATCCGACTTTATAAAAGCATCGAAACCTTGGCCGAACAAGACCTTTTTCCACTCTCGTGTTAGCTCAGTAATCCAGCAGAAGACAGGCCGATGAATATCTTGATATGCTCAACTGCTGTTCGTTATTATTACCTTTGCAGTAACTTCCCAGTTCCTATGATGAATATAGTTATAGCCTAGAACAGTGTTCTACATCAGGCAAATATTATAGAAAAGGACGATTCTAGAGCTAATTCTTAAATCTGAACAGCAAATGAACTTGAATTGAGCGTGCTGGATCCACTGGTAAACAAACGTAATGAAGGTGGTAGCCGGCGAAAAATGAATAACAGCCGTACAGAAACCGTCAAGGGTGGCGTTCCGTTGAATGTGAAGCGCCTAATCGAGTGACCACCGCAGGAATACCCATATTTTCAGCTAAAACTCTTCCTCAAAAAAATCAAACAAACTGAACCTAACTGGCAACTCCTGTGCAGAACAGGGGTAAAGGAAGCACTGATGACATACTCAGAAATATCTCATGCATTAATTTGAGGAAGATAGGCGGATTTTGAAATTGAATGTTATATCGCAGCGAATCCTATTACCAATCTCTCTTTCATTTCAGCAGTGATTAATTCACTGTTTTTCTGCATAAGAAAAACGTGGTTGTTATTCCAGTATCTATCAATAGCCAATAGCTGACTTTTTGGAGGCTTCGAATTCCTCAAGGTCTGGAAACGACAAATTTACCTGCAATCTACTCAACCAAACAGGTTCCATCCCCCAAAAGACAAAACATAATACATAAGTGATTATTCGCATTGTGAACAGCTTCTCTTAAACACTCGAATTTTACTACTGTAAGCCGACCTTCATTTGATCTCGATATGAATGGCCAAAATACATTCTTTTCATTGATAAGCTAACACAACGCTGTTGCCAAATAGTTATTCGGCTAATGTTTCCAATTCTTAGTCTTCCGCGGAGATGATGTTCCCAGTTGAAACCCCACAGTAAGGTGTCCGGACGCGCTCGTGGCTAATGTCAGTTATCTGCATCCGCTGATGGAATCGGTTCTAGGAATTCTCACTTACCAAACATTAACATGCTCAAAGCAGACCACCACCACCACCACCAACGACAACTGCGCGACAGGAAAAATAAGGAACGCATCCAGAGCTCGCACCAGCAGTGATGCAGGTCAACCCGGAATCCAAGTAGACTTATGAGAATATAATAAGCTCAACTATATGATAGACAATGATAAAAAAGTCGAGCATTCAGCCAATGAAAAAAGCTTCTTGTTTGTACGGCTGGAACACATACCCACACAAGTGCCGATATTCATATAAAAATGCTGGTATAAACAAATACACACAAGCATGCACACACAAATATCTAAACACACGGAAATACGTACGTATAAATGCTTCATTCTTTAGTGATATGTACGCAGTTAAGATCACGTTTAATAGAACTGCTCCAATTTTCCGGTCCTCATCCTCCAAGCTGTGACGACGCCATGGATGGCTGGCACTGTGAAGCTGCGCTGTCTCTCTAGGATGCACCTTTGTTCGATTTTAAGATGCTTCCTTTGTTATACGAACCCGTCGACGGTGTTTCAATGTCCGATAAGCGACCTATAGTATTTATCGTATGTTGCGCATCTCATCCTCTTTCACACACTACGATGAGATCTCATTCAATCTCTTAACGCGTACCACACTCCGAAACGTTTCACGTCCCAACATTCCATTTTCCCGTGCATCAACTTAATCAGAGGGGCATCAACCAGTCACCTCCATCGAATTGTTCGCATTCGTCGAAAAGAACGCAAGGTTCTTGCGGCTTAGCAACTGTGGGAAATTCTATCTATTGTCGTCTTCAAGCGTCTGATATCCAGAAGCCAAATGACAAATGGATTTTTGAATATTTTATGTACAGTGGATTCGAATTCGAAAGTGACAGACAGCACCACCTCTGGCGCCTGTTTCATACGTGGTGACAAAGAATTCATTCATCTTAGAAATGCGTGCTTCTTGAACGGCTGCTCAATATGGGCGACAATGAAATTATTTTTTGTTAGAGGCGATGACCGACCTCTGTGAGAAGATGACTATAGTTAAGCTGATTAGTAAAGCCGATGTAAAGGTTTTGCACAACCACGCCATCGACTACACATTTCATTGGAGGCTTAAGAAAATTCACAATGTGTCTAGAATGTTTTGGTTGAAGAGTTAGCCATTATCGATCAAGAGATTTTTGCCCTAACTAAATTATGCACGTAGTCAGCAGTAAAAAAGGAAACGGTACGCTCTTTTTCTCAGTGTTGTCTAAAACTAACTTGTCCAAAGTTAATGTGGGTTTTTAACTAGTATTTTCCATTTCCAGTATTTAGAGGTCACATGTCTTAATTTATATAATGTCTAACAACAGAAAAAGATAAAAAGGGCTACGAGCACTTTTTGGCAAAGTGCGAATTTGCACTCCTTAAGTTTGCACTCCTTAAAATACAGTATTCTTCTGAAGGCTTTTCAGAGGAGGGTCGATTGTTAAAGATTTAGTTGCTAACTCTGGTGACGATTGTAAGACCATCTATGAAGGTTTTCGAATTTTCACGTGAATTTTGCAGCTACTGGAGGACTTTACCTTCTTCATGAACGTCCTTGAATTCTGGTTGTCTTAATTATGGCTTGAAGTTAAGCACAGCTATGCTAGGGTATTCTTAGACCTTCACTATAACGAATCACTAGCCCTTCTGAAAAGGAAAGAACCTTTCCTCAAACACACACCATTCTGCCGACACCGGCGTGATGTGGAGTTTTGTGGTTGACCTTGTGTGGGGTCGAATCAGCGACACTGTCTTTGTTGCACGGTATCTCGAGTCAATGCTCGTCCTCCGCCTCTGTGTGATCAAAATCACCAACTTACCAGAAAATGCGCCATTGTGTAGGCCTGAAGTCAGAGACAATTACTGTAGTCTAGTGATAAAAGGCAGGAGCATCTGATTAACTGTTTTATCACATAACACTCACTCTCTCATGCAGTATAGCTGATTCCGCGTTTAATTGGTAATAAAGTACATTTATTTCAGATGAGACGACCTTAATGAAAGGTTTTCTACCGATTCAGGTGGGATTTGCCAGTATTCTTATTTTCTGACTCATCTTTCTAAAGATGCGACTTGGAGCATGCGTCGGAAGCTTAGCCCAATTTCAATACGTCGTTATTATCGTGCTTCTTTTCTTGTTGCTACTTCAACACTACGAAACTGTGCCCGTAGTAGAGCTTCACGACCGTTTTTTAGCACTAGAAAGCACTGCAGGTCAACTTGGAAGCCAGGTAGGAAAACAAAAAAATACTTTGGAAAAAAATTAAGGAGAAAACAGGATTTGTAGAGGAATCTGTATGGGTGGAAGAAATAAGATTTTTCAATTTCATTAAATGGTTGAAAAAGTGTTATAATGAATGAAGCTTTCACTGGTATATCGTACTTTTAAGCCGTAAATAACAACAATGGTCTTTCTGGTAGCAATTTCCTGAAAACCTGCTTGGTATTTGGGTATTTTCTGCTCATAAATGGTATGTGCTCCACCGCGTTGGTCAACGAACCATGTCTTGTTGATTGAAAAGAATTTTTTCATTAGGGCCAAAAATAATCATGAGACTTCCGCCCTGGGTAGCAAGTAAGCACTTGCAAACCCTCTTCTTCCATAGTAAGACAACAAACCATTGATTTAGAACTCAATTACTAAATAAAGGATTTTGTCATTTTCCTGGTAAGAAATTCTAGGTTGTATGATCACGAGTAGATTTTCCTGCAAACCTTTGTTAATAATTTTTTTCACCGTTTTTATAACGATACTTTCAATTATGGAACAGGCAAAACGGACAAAGTAGAATAGAACGTTTAGCAGTGGCGAATCCCTTAGTAGTAGACGAAGCATTCGACTTCAGTACGGATTGAAGAGGTGATAGAATTTTTATCCGCCATGTAAAATAGTTGCGATGACCTACCGAATAGTTGTGTCTAATCGGTGTTTTTATCCCCCCTAAATAAGTCTGCTACCACTTCGGCCAAGGTATGGTGGGCTTGGTTCGCCTGGAGCGTCATTTCGAACCAACGACTAAGTCATAATTAGTGCATAGGTGGTTTTTTCCTTGAACATATGAAGAATTTAATTGTGGACGCATCGGTTTCCCGTGTTAAGTAGGATGCTGCTCATCGCACAGCACAGTGTATCTTGTTTTATGAGTGCTCTGTTTATTTGCACTTCCAGCTCTTTCACCTTTGTTCCGGACATGCGATTGCTCGAAAACTCCGTCGCCGGCATTACGTTCGCACATTGTACACACAAGGTGCATATATCGGTGGATATATGGCTAAGATCGAGGCGGTGTTTCCAAGACTCGCCAATTCGTTCACAATATTGGTGAGTACACCGTCATTTTAATAAAGCCTTGCAAGGAGTTCAATGCTATGCCCAGCATCCTGTTTATGGGGGTTAATCGTGATCTTCTCAGGCATCTTGGATTTTTGCCTATTTGTTTTTGTGTGAAATAAGTGAAAAATTTTCTTATACGAACACTGCGGGCATCCAGGAACTTACAGAGCGCTCCGATTTGTAGTAGATCATGACAAACAGAACGATAATGCTGTAGTTTAACACATCGGACCAATACTATAGTAGCTATGATACGTGATCAGGTGTTGAATTATATCGTTAGATTTTTTATTATTAAAATTTAAGAAAAACTACGTTCGGTGTCGATCAGGTTTTCAATCTGTGCTTATAGTGATTTTAAGGCAATGTTATTTCTGAAGTAAATTACAGCTAAGTATAAAGAGACGGATTTAGGCAGGTCTGCAGCGTTTTCCGAGACTTTGTTTATAAACTCTGAAAATCGAAGCTGATTCCGACCATTGAGTAGAGAGGACGAATAGATAGAAAAATTCTTCCAGGAAGCCAAAAACGAGCATCGTATTCCGTTTGCATACAAAAATGGAGTAAAGAGCTGTTGCGAGTACGAAGATCCATACAGGTTAGAGTTTCGCTGTTAAACTTTTGCTGTGAAATAAGAGCGCAGCAATTTCTTATGGATACGTTTCAACCATTTCCGACCATATTCAGAAACACGTTCACGGATTTATTTGAATTTCACTGTTTTATTCAATGAGTAAACACAAGATTGGTATCATAACACTTATTACCACACAATAGTTGATGTTTCCGCGGTTTCGCCTTCTTCAGAGACTGCAAGGGTTGAATTGACATGCAATCGACTTTAGTTGTAAAGTAAAACTCACTATCCTTGCAAACCTCCCAACGGTTTACCGCCTCATTGTGGATGGGAGATGTTCCTGGTTGTCGGAGTGCAATGTACAGCGGGGGGATTCGTCCTCACGGCAGGGTCTCCCAAGCTGAGAAGGAGTCCGGCGTTTCCATCAGGAAGCCTAGCTAAGAGTAAACCAATGCCAGGATCCACTACTGTCCTGGTATTAAAGTCTCATGGTAGATAATCTCTCTTTGATCCACAAGGGCTGCGACTGCCTGTCGCGGTGACGACCTGGGACAGACTTTGGCCAGGCTGACCTCGGGATTCCTGGGAACCACAGTGGCTGAACCAGTAAATCTCCGAAAAAGTGCTGGGACCCGCACAACTAGTGAGGACGGGACGTTCAAGTATCAAGTATGTAAGCATCCTTGCACAGCAATAGAAAACATCAGCTCGTAACTCTCTCGAAGCGTTTTGGATTAATTTCACAAATCCAAAAATGAGCCGCAAGGTGGAGTGCTTTTTATCACGCGTGAACTGGCGCTATACCTTAGGCAGATTCTATAACCTGACCCAGCTACAGTCCTCGCACATGTAATACTCTATGCGGCTGTTGTCCACCAATTAACTGGGACAAGTACCACGAACAAAACGGTGGGTGTTTAAGAGAAGCTGTTTATTACACGTGTGTTAAGTTTTATCTGCTATGGTTATGAAAGTGTAAACTTGAATAGATTGCATGTCAATCTAACTTTTACAGTCTTCGAAGAAGGCGAAGACAACGAAATATCAGCTCCTGTGAATGAATAAATTCTGTGATAATAACCTCATTGCTCGTCAAGAAAAATAATGAATTATTGACCAGTGCAAGTTTAAGAAGAAATCGGTTTTGAGAATTGCTACCTAGGATATCCCGGGCTTCCCTAAAAAGACACCAACCGTATTTGTCATATGACGCTAAATCATCTTCTATAAAAGATAAGGTATTCGCCTATGGTTTTTAAGGGCAGCTGTGCATTCGACAACGTCAAGCAGGGTGAATGAATGACTTATCTAGTTATATAATAATCTGCGATGGCTTACCGATGAATCAAGTCATTGCTACTACCATACTCCTAGACAGGTCTGCTACCAATTTACGGACGCCGAAGAGATGGAAGGTTTGATGTGGCGGGGGTGCGCAGGATCCTACCATTCACCGATTGCTGGCGTAAAATTAAAATGAAGTGTACCTTTAACCACTGTACTTCATTTCCGAAATATAATTAAGGAACTCAAAAGCCAACTCTCTATAAACCTCGGCATAAAGAGTTGATGTATTTATTTATACGATTTTATAAACTGATCTTGTTGAGCCAATGCGAGGTTGCTATGGGTCTTCGTTGTTGTTGTAGTTGCTGTCGTTGCTGTTGGTGTTGCTCATCGATGGCCGAGATTTCGCCTCCCTCACAGCCTGGACGTATTTTATACAAGAACACTTTTATCATACGGTGGATAAATGCTAAAGTATTAATGAAGATCAAACTGTTAAATGGATGCCATATTGATCAGAAAGGCTACTCACCGTGCTGTTATGAATGCGACTGCCCGCGTTTTGTTCAGGTGGGACAACGAGGGAGACCCAGGAGTCAAAATCACCTGTATTAGAATGCTTCTTGTGTTAAAAAGTAACTGAAAACGCCCTTCTAGAAAGCTTTATGCGATTTATTCAATTCCCATTGAGTATAACGAAATAGTTTGCGGTGAAGTGCAGCACTTCAGACTGATGTAGAATATTATCCACGCGGGTGTTTTAGTTGTTGTATTGATCTACCAGCCTCAAATTTGGGCAATTAAACCTTTAATACGTAAATACAACACTAATAACATAATAGTTACGATAGAGAAGTAATGGTAGGAGAATTACTCAAGTTAAAGCTCTGTGGGGCTAAGGCTTGTAGTGAAGTAAGACTAACAACGAGACAATGGCATCGAAATATTATTACACCATTAATACAATATTAACAATAATAATGAATGATTACAAAGAAGTAACCGTCGGTTAGCCGTGAGCGATGCCGCGCCGCGGCTGAGGGAGACAGTATGCTGGGGGCGGAGAGGGTTACACACTAGCAATGTTTTCGGCTGAGCTAAGATTTCAACATTATAGCGATGAGGTGCATTTTAGTGGATCGATGAGGACAGTAAGTTACATGAGCTATGGACAGCGAATGATGAGTCATCTACGGAATATAGTCAGGCGGCAGGTCGTGGATAACGCTATGTCAGCAACGTGAACATTGAGCATTGATGGGTGCTACCATTGCCTAAGAGTCAAGGGCCAGTACGATAAATGGCTGAAACTGATAAGCCTATAGCGGCTTGACAGAATACATAGCATAAGTTGGTAGCTCAGCGGCCTTGTACGCATGGCGTACATTGTGGGAGGAATGGTAAATGCCACCGATGGCGTTGCAAACAGAACGCATTTGGAAACACTCGCCACTACTGACATCGCACTGTAGCCAAGCTAAGAAACGAGATACAATAATCTGCTGATTACTGAAGGAAGAATGTGAATGTGTGAATGAATGTGAATGAATGAAAATGGATGAGTATGGCTGAGAATAAGCTGGGGTGATTGAGGATGGCTATGAATGATCTTGTGAGGAGTGCACTATCCGTGTTACCGATCGGGGTAAGGTGAGTGATGGCGTGTCTACGCCGTCGAAAGCACCTGGCATATATTGGCTGCGGGAGCCGCGTGCGTATGCAACGGCGGCTAATCTGGATTGTTGATCCTGGACCGCAGTAGACTGTAGCTAACTGCCTGTAACATCAAACGTCATTGGCTTCGTTGTTTCGCAAGGAAGTAGTAAACTGTTCCACTGTTACGCCTCCTCCGAATAACTCGCCGTTGGTGTGATACTGAAGTCAAACCTGAATTGCTATTGTGCCTGAAACACTGAACATAATTGATCGAGAAGATTACAAAAGTGACATTGCGGTGTTTGATGTGCGACTGCGAGGCGGCCATATTTGGACTTCAAATACTATTATTTAGATAGATAGAGAACTTTTCCAGAGAGAAGTTCTCTATACACCCGCCCGACTTATTTAGGGGCCATGACGAAATTTTGTTAGCTGTTTGGACACAAGGTTTTTTCATTAGGCAAAGGTTTAAGAAGAATCTGAAACATGTATAACGCTAAAACGTTAATAAAAAGAGCATCGTATAATGAGTGATCTAGTACAACTACCTTAATAATTGGTTGATTTTATCGACATTGGGTGCTCTACCCCACCAATTATTTCGGAACAGTGTTTATGATCATTTGTGTAAAACAGAAGAATAGGTGATTCGCCCAAAGGAAATTAGAGGTAGATCTGTCTCCACATAAAGAAACTCCTAGATGGAATGTTGAATGTTCTACAATTTATTCCTCCATGCAAACACAGAGGAATGAACTTTCAACCTTCCATCTAGGAGTTTCTTTATGCAAACACGGAAGGTACAGGCACAGATGTTATTTTTAAATGGGCAGTCACGGTATTGGCGATGGAATCACGGGTGAGTGTCGACGTGGAAAGCCCTTGAGGTAATTTGGATAAACTTCAAAAATCCAAAAACGAATAGTTCAATGTCTCACTATCACAGGTGAATTAACACCTTATCTCACATTAATTTTCTGAGTTGCGGCTTAGGTTATGTGTCATTCTTTCAGCTATTTAGTCTTTTTTGTCAGATCAACTTTTTCAAATTAAGGTTGTGACAAGGGTAGGTAACGAAGTGGTAATGACGTTGATCATGAAGATCACGGTGCTTGGTGCCAGACCCGTTTGGAGAAGGTTCACACTCTGCAGACCAAGTAGGGTCACTTCAGCCTAGTCAGTCCTGATATAACTCCAAAGAGAATCGATTGTCGCCTACTACTCAACGACATTCATGAAGAAAGGAAAATCCCTGAGCAGCGGCCTAATCTAAATGGAAGACGGTTGGAAGGAGACAAATCGAATACAGGAAATGCTGCGATCCGAGCAGTGGATGTGAGAGACGAGTTGTATTTTAAGAAATCGTTGGTGCCGAATATTCAGCGAATAATAAAGCCACAAATAAAAATAAGCTTAGGCTCTGAAGAAAGCTATGCCAGCGAAATTTCACAGGATATTAAAATGTGCTAGCAACCTACTTATTAACAATTTCTAGTCGGCTTACAAAGGAGACAATATAAGTTAATTAGTACCAAAGTGTATCGAAAGTATGTTTTTCGAATTGTGATGAAGCTGTCTACACTCGTTTTTCTATGTCCCTATAAAGTTCTATTTAAGAAAAGTAGATTTTTCAGAGTAATAGGGAGGACCGAGCAGTTCTTAGTGCTTGACACCCAGCTCGGTCAAAATTCGCAGTACTTCGAGGACATGCTACCAGAACTCCATCAACTTCTTGAGTTTTCGTATGCTACTCGGAGAAGTGGAGATGACGTGCTGCTGCGAATGAACATGTTTAGCTTCAAATTCTGCGTTGTTTTTACTTACTGCAATTGGATGGTCTTCGTAAAACGAAACTGTTTTCGTGATTATTATTTTTAAGAAGTGACAGATCTGTTATGTGCGCCCACATACGCCGAAAAGATTTCCGTGATTTGAACGTTGCATCTGATTTTAATAGAAGTATTCATGACATTCACGAGATTGCTAGCCAACAGGTAACGGACATATTTTTGGAAATTAAGGTACCTGCTCAGGAGAAGAATTTTTATGAATCACTACATAGGGCTTGTCGAATGTGCTTCTATTTGGTGAGGATTTGGGCCTTATGAAACCGCTAGGAGAGTTGCTCATTGGACTGGACAAATCTGGAAAAAGGGTAAGACCCTGTAATTCAGTGCCCTTTAAGTAGAAAACCTTTTTAGCATACTAAAATTTCATTGTTCTGTTAGCGTTTCACTGCTTACCGATGTATCCCAGAGGGAGCAGCCAAATCATTTTAGTACCTTAGCCTATTGGTTTTGTGTTTTGCTATAGAAACGATAGAAACGTCAATCAATGTGTCTTTATTGTATCAGAGTTTCAGTGCTTCAACATAGCATTATGCCTAATAGAGATGAAAGGCAAACGAACTCTAAAGCTTTTTAGCAAAAACCATGCGATCTACATATAAACCGATCAGTGTTGTATGGAAATGCCTAGAATCCTATAATTGAAGTATTGTTTCAGAATGTTCTTTAGGAAGTGCAGTATTCATTCAATTCCGAAGAAATCGATTTTTATTTGGCGTCGAGGGCTTGCGGTGCTTTTCTCATCACCGCTCCAACGTCAGCATTTGGCTGGTGGCTAGCGTTCTTCATTCAAAATCAAGACGCTGTTTTCTACAGTAACGACAGCAGAGGCATGGCTGACAAAGTCATACGCAAGGATCTGTTCTTGTACGAGTTTGCTTCATGTTTAAAAAATTAGCTCTTATTTAAAAACCTGCTGCTCACAACAGTATGAGAGCCACTAAACGAGCGAGGCTATTCGAAAACTATTATAGACGACATGAAATCTGTGTGGTACTTCAACACTTTTCCCTCAGCTTTCTTGGCGTCATAAGATTACGGCATCGTAGGCATTTTTTAAGTTTAAAACACTTTTTTTTTGGATTGCACCATAATAGAATTCTCGAGAAGAGATGTGGAACCTCATAGACAAGACGAGGTAAGGTAGCTTTTCATCGCAGAAGTGCGAAAGGTCAAAAAAAAGATCGAAAAGCTCATGTTTATTGTTATTTGTTGTCTTACATTCAATAATTATTTAAGGTCTTCATGGAAAGCCTACAACAGTTCAAAATCACACGAGTAGTGACGCGATCCGATTTCATTCAATACATTTATTATTATTAGTTATGTTGTTCCTATACTGTTTCGCATATTGCTGTCATCTAAAATATTACGAAATCTAAGTGTTTGTATTGCATCCATTTGAGCAGGGTCATGGTTCTCTTTGATTAGTGACATCCTTTTCGCCGCTCTGTAGAGAGTTCTATCAGCCCTATGTGTCTGTGAGATTAACTCTTTCATCGATTTCGTAACGCTCCAGAACCAAACGAATGTGTCACCGTTTCATGAGAAATCACTCACTGGGTGTCGCTGCTCCTTATATTTTATTAGTCAATACATTACACATGGTCTTTGTCAGTGGTGTTACTTTTGCCGTAGTATTTCTTCTGTAGACTGTGATTTTACTCTGTTATTACTCTCAGTTAACGTTTTTCTTCAGCATCAAACAAGAAGTTGTTATTATACTTGACATTTGATACTTGAATGACCCACTCCGTCCTCAGTAGGTGCGTGGGTCGCAGCATAATTTTTATTTTTCGGACAATTGCCGGTTAAGCCATTATGCTTCCCTGGAGTTCCGAGGTCAGCCTGGCCAAATTCTGCTCTAGGTCGTCACCACGACAGGCGGTCACAGCCCTTGTGGATCAGAGGGGGATTCGCTACCATGAGACTTTGATACCAGGATAGTAGTGGTTCCTGGCATTGGTTTACTTAGCTCCATGATGGAAACGCCGGACTCCTTCTCAGCTTGGGAGACCCTGCCGGGAGGACGAATCCCCTCGCTGTACATCGCAGTCCGACAACCAGGAATACCTCCCATCCACGATGAGACGGTAAACCGTTGGGAGAGGTTGTTATTTTAGAATTTACTAATTGACAAGAGTACGTTGTGCTTGATGTTTCGGTTTTGGCCTTCTTCGGATCCTAGAAAGGTCAAGGTGACATGCAGTCTACTCAGCTAAACACTTTCATTGCGAAATTGAATACATAAATTTTCATTTGCATAATAAAAAGTTTCTTTTAAACGCTCACCATTTTCAGAACCTACTTTTTATTTACTGTGCATTATGTTTTCATAGCTTAGTATTATGTGAAATGCAACCATAATGATGCCTTGATATTTGAAAACTCAGATCCCTTGCCAGATTCTAACCCTCGAGTGCGCATTGCGGGGTTTTGCGAATGTTTTGCAAATATCTCAGCATCCTTGTGGTTGCATTTCATTCATCGTTTTGTTCTTTTTAAGTCTTCCACTTATTTGCTGAAGACAAAGTTACAGAGTTACATGTGCAAGTAATGTACCTGGCACGGGTTAAAAAATGAGCTTGAGATATTAGGGAGCAGTCACTTCGAATGGAAGCCGTTTTCTCGGGCTGCTCTACGGAAAACTTTGCTAAGTAGCCCAACGATATGAATGACTGAAAGATCAATAAAATCCATCTCAGAAATAGAAGACGGTGCTTTTTTAAAACTGTCGAAGTGTCATTGTTCTGTAATGGATCAAATAACCATTGTGGCCACATCGAGGTTCCAGTCGACAGCAAGTTGCGAAGGACATGTTGTCATCCAATTTGGAAATGATGACTCTTACACGGCGGGAAAATTCCGAATAGAATCTATTCCTCACTCAGCTTCTGCATTAAGGAGGAACCGACCAAGTATTACTTATTACTTACTACTTATTGTATTATTAAGGTCCTTTCCGTGTTTTCTACGGAAAAACATAAAAGTTACGGCAAATTCACCTCAATTTTTTGAACAGAAAGTTCAGATCGCATTTCTTTCACCACTGAAGGGTTTCTCAAAAAAATATTCCAAAAATCCAATGCGATTTGTATATAGCGCCGAGAAATCCCTGAAGAAAACTTTCAGAGAATGAAGCAGAAAAACTGTTTAAACGAGTCAAAAAACCTCTCTAGAGAAATTCCACAAGAAATTATCCTTATACATTGCCTAGCTTATAGCTCAGAGGGCATAACCGTGTACGACGTCGTCCACCAGCGTGCGAATTTTCCTTTTGAAGGCAGGATATCATGTAGCTTGCGAGAAAAATGTCTAAGTTGTTGGTTTCGGCTGTGAGAACGTTTGAGGTAATATTATAGGGTCCTGAGCAGCACCTATTTTCATGCTTCATTTCACAACTCGAACTTCAGAAGAGAGAATTTCAGGTAGTTTTTCTCCAGTGGGAGTTCTGGAACGGAAGAGTTGGTGTAGAATCTTTCCGTAATAAATCCCTAATTAGGTCGGAAAGTTTTAGTTATCTGATCCTCGTTCATCAGGTAGATAGCGGAACATTACGTCGCAAATATCCCGACGGCAAATTTTCAGATTAGATCTTAACTTTTCTACGCATACCGATGTAAATCCTTTGGCAAGGATCTGGCTGGCATTTATTACCTATCGTGTTAGATATGTTGCAGTACGATCAAGGTTCAGATTCATTCCCTTCTCGAGGTACTCCTTGTTGGTGATGGAAATACGGTCCAGTATTCTTTCTTGAAAAACTGAGGCAAATTTTATACAGTATCTAAGTTCTTTAACAAGCACATAGTAGTCTTCAGTCGAGTTTTCTTAAATCTACCTGCCACGGCTAGATAGGATTTTGTTTATGATGCTCCCTTCTTATACAGCTGGACTTTTTCTTTCTGTTGGATTACAAGATTTCTTTTTCAGCTTGTGGCTGAATAGAATCTTCGCACGAAAAAGGCAGTGGTGGAACCGGTGGATTCTGAAATCGGTTTACTCCTAGCTGGGCTTCCTGATGGAAACGCCGGACTCCTTACCAGCTTGGGAGACCCTGCCATGGGATGAATCTCCCGCTGTAGATCGCAGTCCGACACCCAGAAACACCTCCCAGTTACGATGAGGCGGTAAACCTTTAGGGAAAGTTATAGTATGGAATTAATAAGTTGGATTTCTACTTCGGACAAAAGACATCATATTTTTGATGAGCAGCATTGAAGCAATTTAAACAAGTATGTTTTGTAGATTGGTCGCACCTAGTACGAACTTGCCTAGCATATCCTGTAGCTTATCTCAAACTTCGATGCGCTGTTAACTCAACACAACCCCTGGATATTTTTGGACTGCATGTGGTCTATTCAGAGCGGTGCTGGTGGTCAACTACGAAATTGTGTTTCTGTGAATACCTCAGGTAGACCCTTTACAAATGCTTGCTCTCATACGCCATATATCCTAAGGCCCCCTAGATATGATATGTCTCTGTGATCCAATAATATACCCGCATTTACTTTGGATGCCTAATATACAGAGAATAGACTGCTATTTAGTCTTTAAAGCCCACAATCGAATTCCACTTATTACAGCTTTGGGCAGCTCTCAAGTTTTGACGTGTTTGTAAATATCGCAGTGTTGTGTGCTGTAAAAAGAGTTGTTTTCTCCTCATCCTTCCAAATGGGGAGCATTACGCTCGTCTTATTTTGCTCTGTTATTCACTGCCAGTTTTTGACTCGATGAAATGCTTGGATCTTTGTAATATATCCACAGCAGGGAGCGCGTGTAGCGCAGTGGTCGGAGGTGTCCTGCAATACACATAGGATCGATCTCCGCTCCCTAGGCCCAGTAGGCGTTCCATCCCTTCAGGGTCGGCAAACTGGTACCAGATTTGTCTGGGAGGATAATAGCACTGGCTCATACATCGGTAGGCCACCGTGAATCATGTAAAGACCATGTAAAGGCCAGATATGCATTCAATTACCTCCAAACGATATTTAATGAAGTTGAATGAATGGCGCGTCCCTCAGCAATTGATCGACGCTGAGTGCTTTATTCCGCTATCCCATTAATTTTTTCGTATCTGATAAGTTGATGGGAAGTTTGATCTTGTACATGTTGTCTAGTCTATTGAGTTGCGTTGCATTCAAAGAAATGGTTGAGGTGGTCGAACCATTAGACATGCTGTTCTTTTACCTCATTGAAGCTCAAGAGGGTGGCAAACATAGAGCTGATTAAAGCTTCGGAAACCATTTTTGGAACTGTAGCCTTCGAAATAGCTGATTGCCTCTTTTTTTGCAATCTCTTTGCGAGTGATTTTTCCTCAAATGGTACCGTTATCATGCCTTGGTTTATCCGCACGCGTTCGCAAATGCACAACTTTTTCAACGCTAAAGAAACATGTCTCAGATCTTAGCAAGCTTTATTTATTAGAGTACAGGTCGGTAAACTTTACATGATTTTTGCAAACAATGAGCATACTTTTTATTAAACGGTGGCAAAATTTTGATCTGGAAGCGGGTAGTGCAGAGGTAGCGCAATGGCAGCGATCCCATCCATTATATGGATGGATTACCTATGTAACAATTTGATTTTGTTTTGGTCTAACATGCCTGACGTCAACCTGCTGTAGGAAATTGGTATCAAACTGTTCTGGAACAACGTCAATTCCTCTTGTGTACTTTGGAACGGCCCAGAATGGTTATCGGAGGATTCGAATCGAATCCATCAGCATCAATGACATTCGTGAGGAAGACGAAGAAATCCTCAAGCAGCAGTCGAAGCCATGCGCAAAATGTTTAGAGCTTTTCGTGTAGGATGGATGTGAGCAAATGGATAGGATGCAAAAAGAATCACAGCCCGCGCAGTTGGGTACCTGTAATGTAGGACCATGTAATAAATTAC